AGACTGAGTACCCTGGAACCGAGGGAAACTCTGAAAGAATACGCCCATTGGCTACAAATCAATATATGATTGGTTGAGCAATCTGTCAATCCAAACGTACGCTCTCATTCAGTGCAACGGCCAGGGCATTCTATCAAGGATACAGAATACCTTGGTTGAAGGATATTCTACCCAGAGACCCAGAAAAATATCTGATACATTTTTCTTCTAACACAAAACCACTGAAATGCGTCGTGCATGGACCGAGAAAGACAAACAATTCAACCTAACACTGTAATATTACAGATCAACGACGCACATACGATTCTAATTTATTCATTTTATTTACATGTTATACCATTTTATTTATATAATTAATCAATTTTTGTTTTTTTATCTGAGTGTTTCAGGGTATTTTCTGAATACCTTGAAGGCCCTGACGGTTCACCACTGGTATTATGTCAACAAATATCAATGTTTTTAAGTTAAATAAAAGCAATACTATTAAGTTAAACCTAAAATAACTTGATATTATTGCTTTCAACTAACTTAATACAGTTATGTTAAATCTGTTGACATAATACATTTAATTAAAGTCAACATTTCAGTGTTTTCAGTGCATGAGGAGCCTGTTTTTAAACACCTTCAAACTCCCCCTCAAACTCAGCAACCTGTCGTGGACTGCTCTTTCGCGTGCTGGCTACTCCCTCAGCCAATACCCACTATCTGCTACAATGCAGACGGGCGAGGTGTAGCTCACTGTCTGCACCCATGCCTGCCTCTTTATATCTCCAGATGGTCGTGTTGGAGGGGTTTTGGTGCCTCTGTGCCTCATATGAATTGCATGGCCTGGATTCAACAAAGCAGTTGTAGCAAAGCGTTGCTTCCCCAACGGTGCTTTTCTGCAATCAAAGAGTATTCATCTCCCTCTTGCCCTCTCTCTTGTACAGCCGTTTTGGCACAGTTTGGCTCTCTTTTTCCCCTCCCACTCTCATCCCTTTTCTATTCCTCTCAGTCAGTAATTTATACCACAAACCGGTCCCCTTGTGGGGATAGGGAGACATCCACTGATGTGTAGATTTTTTCAGATTTATTACACAGGGGTTAACGGGTCACTCTTAATTAAGAGGTGAAATCATTAAGGGGGGATAGATAAAGAGAGGGTGACACAGAGATGACCTGTCTGAGGCAGAAATCTCCTCTCTGGTCCTTATAGCTCCCGGACGACCAGAAATCTGACACCTGCATTATCCACAGGGTTTTTCAGAGAGAGGATGTAGGCAGTTGTAATGCTTGTTGGATTAGACGGGCTGTGAAAGACGAGACGGCTACACAATGTCTCCAACTCACCTCGGTACTTCAGGGCTCGGAGATCATTTCTGCATTGGTTTGAAAAGCTTTGAAACCCTCTTGTAATTCAACTGCAATGTGTTTGTATTGAGGGGGAGTGAGCTTCGTTGCTCGGGATTTGTCAACCATTGCTTAAATTAGACACACTTTAGCAAATAAGCACAGTCATGTCTTTATTCCGTAAAGCAATGTGCGTTCTCTTTCCCTGTCGATGGGAAACAAATGACTTTAAAATGATGATAATGTGAATGCCACATTTACTCTTCCTTTGATCTGAGCTAATGATTAATCTAATGAATTCCTCAAAACACTACAAATATCCATTTCCTTTTGAAGCGGTTATCCACAAACTCTTCTATCTTCTTTAAATCTTCTTCATGGCTGTGGTAATTTTCTAATACACTTCCATGACATCACTTGGAAATTAAACATTAAACGTCTTTTTCTCCTGGTTTTTGGTAATGATTTTTAACTTTCTTTCTCTGCAACGCTTTTGTCTTTTTCAGAACTGCTAAAAGCTCACACTGACTACCCAGTTATATTACTGCTATCAGAAAGAAGGATTCACTTACTTTGAATAATAGGATCTGTCCGGGAAATTACCTCTACCTTACACTGGGTCAGTCAGTCGTTTTTTTAAGAAGAAATGCAACATCTTAGAGGTCTGCTGCAATGATAGAAAATCTGTCATAGTGAGCTGCCAAGGTTATTGGATTTAGTGTTTAGCTCACACACATACAGTACATCAGGTCAGACTTATGTAAGGTCCGTGTCATCTGAGACCTGACCACTAACCACGTGTGGACTTTGAACAAATACCTTGGGGCCATCGTGTTAGGCCATGTCAGAAGAGTAGCTCTAACAGGAGTGATGTAGTACACATCTCAGAGGAACTAATGCTGGCGCTTGTATAAAGGTCAATGGGATAATTGCATGTGTTCTTTAGGCAAAATGGCTTAATATGTAACTCCCTGGCTGTTTCCTTTTTTTTATTTTGTTGGGTTTCTCACAGCAGCCTAAATAAACAACAAGCCCAAAGTACATTTTGCATGTCATATCTTTGTATCAATAAATGTAATAGCGAGCCTTTTGCAAGATGTGTTATTAAGGTGACTAAAAACCTGCTAACAAGCTGAGATGTTGTTGAACCAAAATGTATGATATGTGTCAGCCATATGTAAAGGCACACAGTCAGTTGTTCACAGCCAGTGTAGCCTGAGGGCGGAACACTTCAGTGGCTGCTTTAGGTCAGCTGGAAGGCTACTGTTTATTTGCAGAATGTGCACACACACACGTGCATCATGCAACGTTGGCTTTTCTGTTGCATAAATGCAGCTTTAGCAGAGCCTTTGCCACACGATGATTTGTGTGCATGGTTTCCTTAGTGTCCTAGTTACATCTGGTGTTGTGTTTTATATTTGATTGATATTGTTTTCTAGAACTGGTATCGAAAATGGCATACGTCACGGTTTCAACAGCTGCTTCCTGAAGAAAACATTGTTTGACTTGACGTACAAGTTCCAGTGAAAGCCTTTGGGTGGATCAAAGGTTAAGGTTAGGGTTAGAGAAAAATATATTGTACATCAACAAAACAAAACTCAGACTGAAAGGGAACAAAACAGATGTGTTTCTGCAAATGTTTCCAACAGAAGCACTCTTTCTGTGTGGAATCGAAAAAATAGAAGCAAGTAAATGGAAATGAACCATTCCAATTTAATTGACAGTTGTGCTGCATAATTTGTCTTTATAAATGCCTGTCCCATACAGTACTAATGTCTCAGTGACATATCATCATTTATCCAGTAAAAAATATGCTGCCTTTCAGCTTTCCATGCAGGTGTCATACATCACACAAGTTAAAAGTGCTTTTATTTTGAAGCCCTGTCATGTTCAACAGCCATATCAGACAGAAACGTCTCTTGACTCCCTACATGGTTGTTTCTAAAAGGTCCATTACTGTAAGTGGTGGCAAAAGCCGAGGTGCTAGGAAAGCACAATTTCTAAACATGGCTTTGCTTTTAGAGGCCGACCCTTTTCCTGTTTCATTTCCCTGTTCTGCATCTTAAAATGTAGCCAAATCATTGCCTGGTGTCTACATCGAGCGATGGTGTGAACTATTTGTGTACTAAAAATGAACAGATGGCTACAATACCCCGGGTGCCAACACTTTATTTTTTCTTGCCAAATTATGAGACTTAAAGGGGACCTATCATGCAAAATGCACTTTTGTACGTCTTTTATACATGAATATGTGTCCCCGGTGTTCCAGGGAACTCACCAAGTGTCAGAAAACACAACCCTCTCTATTTTCCTCCATACCCAAATCTCTAAAAAAGGGGCTGCAGCGGATCTGATAAAAACTGATCCAGATTTGAACACTGTCCTGACGTCAGGACAGTGGCGCTACGGCTATTGGGCCAACTCCACCAATCAGGAGGAGACAGCCACGGCCATTGCCGTTCGAAAGCGCTGGAGACGCTGTAGTACATATGCCAGACCTGTAGATGGTGCTGTTCTCACAGAATCTGCCCTTGCAAAAACAGAGCTAAACATTTTCAAATTGAGCAAAATGAGGCATGGCTAAAATGCATGATCTGTTTGGAATTTTGAAAAAAAAAAGGTATAAATATGCCTTATATAGGTATGGTCCTACACTATATTATTCAAATATAGCATGATAGGTCCACTTTAAGTTTAATATTCTCAAGTGGAGGAATGCTTCAGAAAAAGCATTGAAAGAACGCATCTTGACCTTCTTGTTTTTCTTAACTTATGAAACATATTCAAAGAACTTTCTTTGCTCCTGTTCCGGTTGTCTTAGCATCTCCCTATGCAGTACTACTCAGCACACTAAGCCTGAGGCAGTGTGCTTCCTCCAGAGGCAATAGGTTATATGAGTTACCCCGTGTTCACACGGAACAATATTTTTCTTATCATTTAAAAAACAATGCGACTTTGTCTCCTGATGTGTAGATTTTACATATCATGAATTGCTTTGGCGTTGTTTACCTCACTGAAGGGATTGGATTGGATCAGGACGATTGCATCTTCACTGGCAGGCGAAAGAAGGATCCCCGGCCCACCAACAATTTCCTTCTTCAAAGCAGCATTAGTGGCTCCATTAAAATCCTGTCACCCTTTTTCATTTATGTGTCTGTGGATTCTGAGGAGAGGAGAAATCATAGTCATTCAAATGCTAAGTGACTTTAACACTCCTGTGAATATTAGAAAGGAAAGAACTACTCCATCATCTGCCATACACGAAAAAAAAGAAGAAGATGAGACCAGTGTTTTGAATATCCTTTCCACCTACCTCTGCAGTATCTCGTCACAAGCCATTACCTCCGCAGAAAGCAGACTACTTGACACATACATAACACGCTCCGTGTCAGTCTTCATTAAGACTTAACCATCTGCTCGAACACATACCAACGGCTGCCGAAGAGACTGTCTTGCTGATGCTATCATGTCAGCATGTTTTCAATCCCTTTGCCTTCAGACATTGTAAGGGATGAGCTTATCATGGCTGCAAATGAATCAATGAGATATCTGCAGGCAGGAGACAACAGTTTATATGTAGGAGAAGCTCAAGGGGGGAGAAAGGGTAGACCCTGTCCCATCCATCATTAGACGAATCATCTTATTAATTCTCTCTCTTTTTTGCTTCACAGGTCACAGATGGAGGGACCATCAAGCAGAAAATCTTCACCTACGATGCTATGTTTAACACCAATTACTCTCACATGGAGGACTACCGCAGGCGTGAAGACCTCGTGTACCAATCAACCGTCCGGTGAGCATTAAAATCAATTGGTTTTATTTAACACATGACTTCTTTCTTTCCTAAAGAGGATATATAATGCTTGCTTCAAGGTTCATATTGGCATTTTCTGCCTCAACTGTGACATGTTCACTTACTTTAATGCTCAAAAAGCTCTTAATTTCTCACATACTTCCTGTGCTGCAGCACCTCTTTTCAACCTCTGTCTGAAACCAGAGCCCAGTCTGCTCTGATATGGTTAGCTGGCCGGCTCTGTTGTGATTGGTCATCCACTTATGATGTGTCGGAAATGTCCCGCCCCTTAGCAAAACAACTACAATTTATTGGAGCGCTAGCCAATAGAAGCGCAAGTGGTACGTGGTGATGTCATTACGTCACAGAAGTGAACAAAGGACACCGATTGAGGCGTTTCAGGCAGGGGGAGTGGGAGGGAAACTCCCTCTGGCTTTGGGATTGTAGCCTTTGCAGACCATTTATATGCACAACAACCTATGTACACGCTACAGGAATGGGAAAACCCCAAAAGCCTAATAGGGCCTCTTTAATTCCACTCATGTTACATGCTTTTTCTCCCTTCACTTTGCAGATCAAATACATTGCAAAATGCTTACCTTGTGTATAATCAAATGACATCGTGACACTGTGATAGTAAATGCACCAAGATTAACTGATGTTCAGTGCTACGTAACTTTATTCCCAGCCATCTGCTGTTGGTCAGACCAGGCCATACTGGAGTGACCGGGCAAAGAGGTCCTCGCATGATCACAAGAGGACAGGAGGCATTGGGGAACTCTAATCAGCAACCCTGCTCAGAATAAAGAGTTCAATGTTAAAGGTGTATCCAACATCTGGCCAGCCCGGTCCTTATTCCAGCCACAGTGGTGCATAAATCCCAGGTAGCACAGCCCTGATCAAGCAAGTAATCATTAGAGGAGAACATGCAGAGGCTCTACGAACATACACAACACTACTGGCCCACTGTGTAGGTTTTAACTTGGGGTGTCAACGTTAACGCTTGGGATTATTCTGAAAACCTTAACGCATTTGACCTAAACTTCCTCCTGTAGTTCTAACGCGGATGTTTACCATAAATTCCATGGCGATGAAAAGGCATAGAACGTGGATACATTAGCACAAGCTACATGCTACATGTATTGCACTGACTAGAGACCACTAGACATCAGTAAGAACCATAACTACCTAGGAGCAATGGCACACCTAAACCACGACAAATGGCAACTGCATTGGTTTGCGTAAAAGTGGTGAAAATGAACAAAAGGTATTTGCGAAACCAAGCGCTAGTTTCTTGAAGTTGAACAGGAGTGGGAGATAGCAGACTAGATCACCACTGTAGGAACAGATAGTGCATTCAATAAAAAAGGGGAACCAAGAATACTACTACTACTACTACTACTATAAATTGTCTGACTTCAAACTGATAACTCATATCACATTATAATCTCCTCCCAAATACAAGTCAATACTATATTTTAATTATTTGTATTGACAGTTAAGCATTTTTTTATCAATTGACAACACTAGTCCTAACAAGTTTTACTGAGCAAGAGATGGAGAAAGAGAGAGTAGTTGGCTGAGGAGTCATCTTGGCTTGATTACACGGTAACTGCGTGATGGGGGCTGTCTTCCTTCACCCCCAGGCCTCCAAAATACGGCTGGCAGCTGTCTGCCCATCTCCTCATTCCTTCCTCTGGCTCTCCTCCCACTACAGATACCCCTGACTGAATGTTCGACAACAAAGGAAAGTGATGGCCATACAGCATATCTACGACTTCATTTAGAATCGCAATGTTTCCCTCTTTGCATCTTTGTGTAATAATCCTACTTTCATCGCTCGCTGTCATCTTATCTTTGTCCTGATGCTTTTCTTTGATTCCGCTCATGTACTTCTCTACCTCTTTGTGTTTTTTCTTCTCCTTCTGTGCCTCTTGTTTTCCCTCATGTGTGGTGTGGATGCCCAGCTGAAGATGATTTATTTGGACAATCCTACTATCCCTTTGGGATAGTAGGATTCATCACAATGGAAAGGCGTACACACTTACATGCACACAGACATGGAAACACAAGTGCACACACAAACAGAAAACATAACCCCCCACGCCGAGACACCCACACAAAGATACCTACAGCGAAAGGAAGTGAGAGAAAGTCTAATGCAATACACCGGAGGGGAAGGGGGATTTCGAATGAAACCGCATCAGAAACAATTGGATGCTATACCTGCACTGACCTGTATCCGGATCTGTGTCACAATGCTTAACCTGTGTTAGTCAACCAGAGATAAATGTGGACTCCTGCCAGTCGCAGCGTTCCTCTCAGTGAAGAACAAATTCCCTCTGCTTGGTCACAATCCCACTTTCATGGTGGCACACAGGAGCTCAACACTGCTAAGAAATGCAGAAAGCTGCATTTTGTACCCGCTGTAATCTCCCATTTCCACCTGAGAATGGTAAATCTTCTGTACAAAGCCTTAGAAGTCTGACAAATCCACTTGTACGACCAAAAACGAATGCCTCAAAATGCTGTATCTTTTATAAACTCAGAGCATTTTGTAGGGAAATATATTTTTAGCTTTTTTCCCCTCTTTGCTTTTGTGAAATATTTTTTCCAAGCAGCAATATGTGATTATTGTGCTGTACTAGAACAGAAATAGAGATGTTTTTTCTCCTCACACGCCAGCTTGCAATTATAAGACGGTTTCAGAAGTGATGTTTAAAGATGGTGACTAATAGCTGTCAAAGATTAAGATAAAGTCAATATAAAAGACTGGAAGCAGCTGTAACTGTGTCTGTTTTTAAGCGCCAATGTACAGGCCTTGTAAAATAATGACAGATTTCGCGAGTATCTGATGATACTTGAAGTCTGGAGGACCTCCAGTATTCAAGCTAAAAATAATTAAAGCAGGAGTATGCATTTTGGCACAAGTAGGTTTGCTTTTACAAATGGTGGAGACTTTTAAATTCATGGTTGTGGGTTTGTATGCAATTTATTTCCCATGCCTTCTCACATGCATGCAATCTATAATGTTGTAGGTATGAGCACTTGTTATTAATAAGTGCTTTTCTGAGACCTTGCTGCACCTGCCTTACGACCGTCTTCACTGTAGTTGCTGCTGGTACCATATATTTCCTGAATAAATGATACCATGTGTGCTGTGGTTAAAAATGTCTTTAGAAAAAGTGTTGTTTTACGTTGTATACATCTCCATGGTTTACCTTTTTGGCCCAAACAATCCGCTACACAAAGCCGATACATTTCTTAATGAACCATTCATCTTCTTGAAAGATCAAAAGGTTTTTTCTTTCAAAAAACAAAGAGAATTTGTCTGTTGAAAGTTTGAAAGTTACAGTTTAAGTGTCAACAATTCAGGTTAAAAATGGGGGCAAACAGGACTATGTCAATAAAACAAGTGCTGTAATTTAAACCGCTAGTCAGACAGTGGCGCTTCTAGACCAAATGTACCAGGTACTTTATGAGAGGGTAACATTTTATCCAGGACAAAAGAGACATTTTAGTTGAGTATAAAGTCGAAGCGCCCATAAAAGACCATTATTGGTATTTGTTTCAGCTACATCATTTGTGTCAGTAACAGTTTTATTAAATTGCTTTAACAAAAAAAGAAAAGACACATTCCCATGACTTCAGCTTAATAGACTCTTCTTTTCTAGGGGCGCCACCCTAGATAACAGCTATTGCAGTCAGCCAACTCCCATTAACTACCTTCCCACATGGCCAACATGCAAAAATCTGCCATATTGACCAAAACCAACAAGCTCCCTATTATTTACACGCAACAAACAGAAAGCTATTGCTGAGTTCAAGATAATCGGTAGACCCAGTCAATCGTTGCCTCACTTTCTACCACCATCTAATCTCTGTCAGATAAATCAAACTCAAAACTCAACTGGAACGGGCATGTCTCCACTGTCCATAAACAAATGTACAACTCTGCAGTAGCCATTCAACAGAAAAAGTTCATTTAAATTCCTGGTATGCTTCAAATTGCCTTGTGACTGCTAGACTATATTAGTTATACATTTCTTCAGTCACCCCACCCCGACACTTTAAATCAGACTAACCTTGTTGTTGTTCTGGCAGTTTTTAGGAGGTGAAACAGCTCAGTAAGGTCTCTGAGTAAATTATGGATATTTCCTGTGGGAAGTTGTGTTAAGAACGTCAATTTCAATTTTATTTTGATTACAGTTGCAAATTAAAAACGTTCATTCTGATATCTCCCCCCCTCAATCTTACACTGAAGGTGAATGTGTCCACCGAAGCGTCCTACATTACAAAGAGAGAACACACTTGTGTATTTTGAATCTGTATAGCAATTATATTATTATTGTGTGCTATGGTGAATATACCTAAGGATAAAAGAGTTGTTTTAACTAAATTGCACATACTTTTATATTGTTTAGCTTTCCCTTAAAACTATTAACCTGTATATAATACAGATAAGCTTACATTACATTTAATTTAGTTGATGCTTCTGTCCAACGTATCTACAAATAGTGCAATTAATCATAGAGATTTAAACTCAGACCAACAATAAAAGATACATTTGCTTCAAACAAGCCAGACCCTTGTTAGTGCCGGTGCACTCGTTAAAGTCTTAAAGAGTATCATTGCATGTACAAGAGAAACAGGTGGGTTTTCCGTTGGTGACAGAAGGTGTGTAGGCTTTCTGCTGTCCTGATTTCAATGGGGAGCTCGTTCCACCATTTTGGAGCCAAGATAGCGAACAGCCGTGTTTTTGGTGAGTGCTACCGGGTTCCACCTCGCAGTGAGGGGGTAGCAACTCTGATTGGCCGAATCAGAGTGAATTGCATGTGCTAGAGTGAGTAGTTTGATCATGTCCTGGATGTAAGAAGAAGCAGATCCATTGACAGCACGGTAGGCCTGTACCAGTGTCTTGAAGCATATTCTGGCAGCCAGTGAAGGTAGGGGAGGAGTGGTATGGTGTGAGATAAATGTGGTAGGTCAAAAACCAGTGG